TCTATCAATCAATACCGAATAATAAATAAAGCGCCCAATTTTTTTGCTGGTCCTGATGCAGACACCTTGTGGACGTTTGAGGAGTGCGCGACTGAAAACTTGCAACTGTTGGGTGCTTTGAGCACTGCCATCAGGCATAGCTTATTTCGTCAACTTTCTAAAATCGTTCACGTCTATGTACAGTCGTGTCCACTTCTGTCTAGAGCACGCGAGCAGTAAGTTTCTGCTCCCTGTGCCCACGCCTTGTGGCCATTGTGGACTCTGACGTAGTTAGCATGACTATCAGACCACGCGTGCTCCTGACACGCCACGTGGAAGCCCCAAACTGCCGCAAGGCGTCGCCTTATCGAACACAAGCCTGTTGCTCCCATGTTCTACACAGACGTAAACGTGGCTGTGAATTGTCCATAGCATATACCCAAGTTCATTGGACTTTGGTCAAAGACGCAACGAAAGTTTTCAACGAACATTACTCATTTCATTTATCTCATGGTAAACCAGGTCATGAAGTACCGCTACCTTTTGGAGCGCCCCCTAGAACGCACGTTAAAGGACCATGCCTGGTGCCTCCACGAGACGGCAGTCCTGTCCAGTACGTTCTTTCCAACCTGGGTGACGAAGACGCTGGTCGCCCCAGATGCCATTCAAGATCTTGGTCGCATGATGGAAGGCCTTAGAGAGGCCATGATTCGCGAACCCGACACGTTGCCAGAGCTAAACATAAGCGCAAGTGAAGCCACCAAGTGGACCGTCTACGTCATTGGTGGGTCCCGTTATGTACATTGTCTTTTTTACCCGATTGCAGCGCACACTCGCACTACGGTAGCTCAGTGGTTTGGATGCTGCGCTGAAGAGCGGAAAGTAGCGGGTACGATCCCAACTGCATACAAGTAGGGGCTGAATGCGAGCAGTGTGGCTCGCATTCAGCAGAATGCACGCTGCAGAACACAGAGAGGGGCGGGTCAGCTCGCTAACTCCACCTTACGAAGTACGTCAGAACATTTTTTACAGCTTTGGGCTCGTTACGCCACACAAACCTGAAGGCCATTCATCGTCAACCGCGTTATAAGAAGCCGTTCAAGTTTTGCCCATATTGAATCCATAGTGGTATTGCTAAATCTGGGAGTTTTCTTTGGCTTTATAGTTTATTACTGTTCCACTCACTGGGTCCTCCTGAAATATGGGTGTCAAGTTTCATACAGTTCCGTCGGTTTCTATATTCGTTTAATGAAGAGGTTGTTAGAATAATTAAAAATGTGATAGCAGCTTGTGGTGGCAAGCCTGAAGCGAGATCAGAGCTGGATGGCCTCCCGTTGTTTTTCTTCACATTATTTTTCGTTCTTTCGTCTCTCTATGTTGCTGGTGTAAATTTTTGTATGTGTTCATTTATATTTCTTACTTTCTCTCGCTACTTTTTCTATTTCTAGCTTATTTTATTCTCCTTTCACATTCTCCCTCAATTTACGTTTACCACTTCCTTTCTTAGTGTTTCTTGTAGCTCTATTTTCTTTCTTTTCCTTCATGCCTTGCTCTCTGCTTTTTTTATCGTTTTTCGTGTCTCTTTTCTTTTTAGGTCATTCTGTCTTTTTCTGTGTCCTTCTCGGCCTTTCTATGTTTTTACGTCTTGATTCCTTTTGTTTCTCACTATCTCTTTTTTTTCTCTTTCTCTGTTTTCTCTATCGCTTCCTTTCTGTGTCTATTTCTCTCACTGCTTGTGAATTTTTATTTCTATAATTTTAAAGTTTTATCTGTTTATTTTCCTCTCTCAGGAAAACCAGGAGTCATAGGAATCAGTGCGTCTCACAAGTTTAGCGTCTCGTTCAGACATGTATTATAATCAATCAAATATCGTTCTGAGTTGAAGTTCATCAAATAAAAAAATTCAATCATGAAAAGTGTCCCGATCCTCCCGGCTCTCCTCAACGTATTTCCATGCACACATGAAAGTAAGATATGCCTTGTATGCTCAATGCAAAAAGCTCGACATCATACTCTTGTAGAGAAAGGGCATAATGCTTCTCATTTGATTGTACCCGAAGCATACACCTGTTGCTAACTTACATTTCCACGAATTATTCGCGATCCGCCAAAAAAGGCAGTCACACATTAAGACACAAAAGCGCTTACTTAATTTCTTCGAAGACTATCACTACCTTGTTCCGAAGCACGAACTTCGTGTTCTGGTCAGGTGTGCACTTAAAGGGACCCTGAAACGGTTTTGACGATTTTTCACAAACACATTGGGCTGGTATACCAAGTCCCAAGGGTGATTCAGAGACCAATTTGGGCTCTCTGCGTAAACTGTGTAATTTATTACAACGCTTTAAAGCTACGAATCGCTCCAGAATACTGCGACTCGCCCAAACGCGTTTTCAACCGCCCATACGCCAAGTGACACGCTCTGCCCCATCGACGTCATCGTTTCCAGCTGATCTGATTGGCTGTGGAACGCGCAGCACAGGCTGCCGGTATCGGATCGGTGGCGGGATTTACGCGTATGCGGTGTCACCCCACATCGTGACACTCGAAGGGACAGTTGAGGGTGAAAGGTGGAGCGGAGGAGGAGGGTACTTGTTTATTACCCGTAGTTCCGTTAATAATGGGTGTTTTGATTGAACTCTGGTGCTAATGATTTGCTCCAGTGGTGGTCTAATCAAAAACGGAATGTGGAAAAACCGTTCAGGGACCCTTTAAGCACGTATCACAGCAGCACACTCATCTGCAAAGTCGCTCTCTACTTACGCGGTATACTGGTGTGATGCACAGCCCTGCCATGCCCTCATTGCAGGCTCGCAAGGCTCCCTCAACACGGGGTTCTCAACTTCATCGCCAGCAGCAGCCCCCACATCGTACGGCGACCACTTCCTACTGAACGTGGCTCGCGCCAGCAAGGACAGCGTCTTTCCCGCCGTATTTCAACGCGAGAGCTCCACGTCTACAGGAAGCGAAGGTAACACGGACATGGACGCAGGCACGCTAGCAGCATTGCAGATTGAAGGGACGATATCGTACGACGCCCACACCAGGCAACTGCTCGTCCCCGCGGTCTGGCTGTTGGACCTCATGTTCGTTCGCGATGGTTCCTTTCCGGTCCTAGACGTCGCGGCTCTCGGCGTGCGTCTCCTCGCCGTCTGGATTCGAGCGCAGTTGGCCGGGAGACCGCAAGTCTTGGAAAACCTCAAAAGCACCGCAGAGTGTCATGGGTATGAGTTCGAGACGCCTCTGGATGAGGACAACTCTGATCAGGTCGTGCGAGAGGTCGCCTCTACAGAATGGGCCCTCCGCATCGCGTTCCAGGCTTCCCGATCACGCGAGCGCCTCGCAGCCGACGTGCTCCAAGACCGCGTCTTCTTTTGGAGGTTCTGCCAGACCCACTGCGGAGACGTTGTCGGCAGGGACGCCTGTGAATTCGCGGTTCATCTCGCGGAAGGTTTTCGGGACGCCTTTGAGTGTCGCGAGTTCGTCCCGCCCCATTGCTGGGCCTGAGATGCCAACGGCGGCCGACAGCTGCTGTCGCCGAAGCAGAACTTTATTTTTGTGGCAGCTCCTATTAAGTTCGCAATGCGAAATTAAGTGATATGATATAGGCGCAATTTCACTTTTCTAAACTCTGTCAACTGATAATTTTTGCTTCTCTTTGTCGATCCGCGCTAAACCTCATTTTTATGTTCTATTTGACGTAGACGTCGTTACATATGCAAAAAATGAAAAAAGAAGGTACTATCTGTATTTTGCATTATCATTACGCGAGATTATGAAAAAGAGTATAGAGAGTAGCAGATGAAGTATCGCAGTTATAAATAATATGATATGCTAGTGAAGAATATTCCAATAAACAGTATAATGAGAAAATTATGATCAGGTACTGGCATGCGCAGAAAATACCGTGCTGTTAAGGGGTCATAACGTGTGCAAGCAGGCATGAATATGCAAACGAACAGATTTGCTGATCTAAAATTATAAGTGATTTATTGATCAATTGATTGATTGATATGAGGGGTTTAACGCCCCAAAACCACCATATGCTTATCAGAGATGCCCTAGTGGAGGGCTCCGGAAATTTTAACCACCTGGGGTTCTTTAACGTGCACCCTAATCTGAGCACATTGGCTTACGGCATTTTCGCCTCCATCGAAAATGCAGTCGCGGCAGCTGGGACTCGATCCCGTGACCTGTGGGTCAGCAGCCGAGTACCTTAGACACTGGACCACCGCGGCGGGGTGAAATTCATAAGTGAAACAGACACTGAACAGCGATCAGGTGACTACTTTTTAGTATCACAAGTAAATTGGTTTGTTTCAATTGTCTGTTACAAAATGAGTCTCTTGAAGTTTGTCAGATAATCTAGCACATATGTGCAATTTTGTAATCAGTTAAAATAACGAGGCTTAATAAAGGTCCCGAGACCAATCCATTTGGTTAAAGCAGATGGTCAGCGGAGTTGACACATGAAATCACATGAGGTAAGCAAGGTATCGCCTACCCATGCATATTAAGCCTATAGCTTTCTTCAAGCTCTGACCTACTTTAGAATGCCGTTTTCGGGAGGCACCGGCATGGCATGTTCAATGGTACCGTGAGTGCATGGAGCCATAATTCGTAAGTACAAGAACAACACCGATAATAAGTTAGTTCCTGCGTGTCGCACATATTTGCCCAAGCATGGGGTTTCTTAATAGTACACTAGTTCCTACAATAGTAGAGAAATATGGGAGCTTTACCTTGATAATTTCATGGTCCACAATTCAAATCAGCTCATGAGGTTCAGTATGAGCCGTTCTGATAGCCACAGATGTGTCCGAAGCCATAAGTACGAAGACTAGACAAGTCCATGTAATGCCCGTAATTGCCACGGTGTTTGAACGATTGCAGCACCATGGTTCCGTCAATATTTTAGGGCACACTATGCACCTAAGTACCGGCTTCAGTTTTCTACTATATGCATGCTATCGCCAGTGGATGTCGATTCTCGCAGTCGTCCCTTAGTGGACGCCTGAGCATCAAGGAATCAAGGCAGCAAGAATGCCAGGTCGCACTGATGCCGCGCTCAAGCAGTGCTCCTTCTCCTTGTCCGCCTCCTGCGCAAGGCGAAAGTAGGCGACTTCGGCTCGGCGGGAGAACACTGTTCCCAGCAGGCACACGTAAACCATCGCGGCCACCACGTGTACAGGGAAAATGGCGGCCGCCAGCATAGCGTCACGATCACTTCGAGGGTCCCAGCGCTTCCCTTCGCGAGGGTCAAACAGCAGGAAAGCGATCTGGATGAGCCATGTGCCCTGCACAATCAGGCAACAGGAAAACAGATTATGCTCCTTTACTTCGACATACGGGATGCTGACGGACGTGGTCGAAAAGCCTCCGAAGGCCTTGGCTGGGACCATTAGAAGCTTGCTGTTGATCATTCGGCCGATGGCATCGCTAGGGGACAGCAGCCGAACTATCAACCAGAAGCTTCCAGAGAGGCGAAAACAGCCCAGGGTTGCCATTTACGCTGATTATAAGTTGACTTAGGCATCTTTTTTCTCCGAGTCTCTCGTAGAAATTTTCAGCCGCTTGTCGTGTTTTTATTTCTCGTTTATTTGCATAATGCCCGCAAATTTAGTTATCCTCTAGCAGTCTTAACATTCATCGACAGGCCGTTTGTCCTACTCTTATAGCGCGTTTGTCAATAGCATTGAGTAGTTGCGTGTTGTAGTCAAGCGTACGTTGGTAGAACCAGGAAATAACGTTGTCTATACATTGGCAAACATGCATTCAACCGAATGGAGACTGTCTTGTAGGCAATGTTGACAAGCAAATAGATGTTTTTCGTCATAACCGCGGATTGTTTTGAAGTACAATATAATTAAAGTGATTTTAAGACTATATTTTGTATTTCAATGATGCATTTATCATAATTGAAACTTTCAACAAGGTGAAAATTGATTGAACTTCATGTTCTTTTAGACATCTTCGCGAAAGTATCATCGCTTTTCTGCACGGTTTTCCTGATGCTTGTTAGCTGAGTTCTGCCTGGCAACTCTGAACCACTCTTATGGTGGCACAAGACGCCTTCTACTCCTGCTTAAGATACGGGAAGGAGTCACAGTTACAAAGTGTGGTGACCTGGACACAGCGTGGAAATTGGAAATGCCTTGCTCGGAAAAGTAGCGCACAATCTGGTTATGAATGACATTTGCACGGAAAGCTTCGCTAATCAACAGCGTATTAGTTCTTGTAGCCTAATAGACGAGAGTAAAATTATGGGCCTGGGACTGCAGCACTAAAAGTGCCTAATAAGTTGAATGGTCACTTCCTGTACTTCTGCTAGTTGGCCCATTATTTGCATGCACTGGTAACTACTGCAGCAGCCTCCTCCTACAGCCAGTGTATGTGTAACCCTGTTAAATGAAAAGCCTGACTGGAAGTTAGTTTCTAATGCGTTCAGTTCACTGTGGCAGCTAGTGTTACCATGTCAGCTGTTGCCAAATAAAACACAGACGACACCTTGCATAAACACTTTTTGAGCGTGTACGTTCTATATTAGAGTTTGCTGAAATTCCTTGAGGCGCATCATATTGTTTCTAAAAAAACTAAGCAACATTTTCTACACAGGCCACCAAAGGGGGTGGTACGTTCATGCTTTGTTCCATAAGCAACTATAGGAGGCAGTAGGTGTCGTGGAAAGTTTTATTCACAGGCGTGAATTGTTTGGTCCAGACCGGGCATTGTTATGTAGCCTGCAAGCCGCAGATATCGGAACTCGGAAAACTCTGCTTTGACCGCCATTAGGCTTGCGGTCAATCGAAATTTCAATTTACTATTCATAACACATAGTGCTGTATAACTTATGTGCGCAGAGTTTCAAAAGCGGGAATGTAGTCAAAATCGCAGCGCGTGTATTCTATAGCAACGCTATATTTTTATAAGGCAGGTACATTTGTTACAATATAAAAAGATTAGAAATTTTCAAGTCAGCTCTTTATTTTCAAATGCATACAGAAGCAGCTGTTAGGCAAAAAAAATTGAATTGAACCTGTGCAGCTCAGAGCGCATTCTTATCGCTTGTGTCATTGGTTGCGGCATAACATTCAATAAATCTAACAACCCTTTCTATGTTTATCCGGATCTTTGCAATCAAACAGGTATTATTTTCTGTCAACCGGACATCATACGTCTTTCAGAACAAAGAAAACTATGGCGTCACAGTAGGATCAGCATTGGGTTATGGCTTTAGGTATAACCGATTCAGAATTCAGTGGACTGACTTCACGTCTGTCGTGGTAAATGTAATGTGTTCACTTGAGAAAGTGGGTAAAATAACTTCCACGAAAATAAGGTAGGTGCTTTGTTTTGTTTTGCGTACTCCTTCTTGGTTTCTATGTACACGCATAACCCAGTTCGCGTTTCTGTACGCAAGTTTATTTGCGCATTACATTGTAGCATATTATGGAGACATCTGTTCGATACGTATGGGTGCTGCTTTCCGTTTTCAGCGAATGGATGTGTACCACTAGGAGTAAATTTTGCAGTTAAGACAGAAGCACTAAACTGATATATTGGCGCTCCCGTTCCCGCAAAGTTGAACCCGCATAACCCCGTTCCCGTTCCCGCAACACTTTAAATGTAGCAAACGCCACAATATAAACTACGTATTCACAAGGTGTACAGTGCTATTTTATCTCAATACTTTTTTTTGTCGTCTTGTGGCATCAAGCATCTACGGTAAGGGGAACACATTCAAAAGGTACTGTAGAACTGTTCAGAAATTTTTAAATAGCGTTTGACACTGACTGAAGCAATAAACAATAATTTTCTAATCATTCAACACCTGCTACAAATGAGCAAAAACGACAAAGCACGACGCCGAGAGAGTAAAAAAAAACATAAAACCTGTGAAAACGTTGCTGAGCATCGCATGGGAAATAAAATAGAATAAACGAGTGCACAATAATCGATATGTGAACAAAACAAAGGAAGAGAAAACCATGCAAGGTATAAGCCCACAAGATTGAAAATGGCCGTGTTGGAAGACTATTTCTTTGTCCGAAAGTAAGAGTGATGGCATGCTCAACGCATTTAATTGCCTAATAAAATACGCTTCAGTAATATCCCTTTCATTCTTATCACGTGCCTTAGCTGTGACTGACACTTGTGTGAGCAAAACGAATACAATGACTTTAACATAATGCCGTCTGAGGCAGAGGCATAAAGAACCGCGTGATAATTTTTTTTTCTTCGACGATGTCACACGCAACTTCATTTAAACGTTTCATAATTTGTCAACCGGAAACTTTAAGTGGTTTACTATAATCTGAAATGTCAAATCAAACCCCGGGTGGACTAGAGGAGCGGCACGCACGCACGTGCCATTTTTCTAGTCCAGCCGTGGCCAAACCAGGCTACATATCGGATGACGTCATTGCGCACGTGTTCTGGTGCAGCTGTGTTGTGTTGCTGTAGCTGCTGCCGCCACGCGCACTTACCTGCAAAACTGCGCAGAATCCCCGCGCGAGCGCCGCCACCACGCTCGATCGCCGCGCCATCTCGACGGCGAGGCAGGCGGCCTGCGCCATGATGGCGTAGACGAGCAGCTCGTGCACCGTCACGTCGAGCGGCGCCCTGCCGTGCGAGTGCACGTGGAACACGAGCCCTTCGCCCACGAAGGAGATAAGCAGCGCGGCGTAGTCGGAGTCGGGTGGCAGAAGACCGTGTCCCCGTGGTGACGAAGAGAAGAGGTCCACGGGTCCGCTCAGACCGCAGAACATGTATGTGGCCATGTGATGCCAGTTTCTGGGAGCCCACTCGCCCTTGGATATGCATTTACGAATCTGCGAGTCGGGAACGTGTAATGTACTACGTTCAAGCCTGCCTGCATTTGCCTATGACTATCGTTACTATGAGCACTGACATAATGAACTACCGGTTGTACCGAACTAAGTAGAAACTTTCGTTTATTGTGCTTCATTTTAGGCACATTTATTCTTCTATGAGGAAACGTGAAACGCGAGAGCTGCCGTGGTACGAGCTGTAACAAATAATTGTTTAGATGATGCGACGTTCCGCGTGTTCAGTCCTAGCCGCGGCGGTCACATTTCGATGGAGGCGGAGTGATGGCGCCCCAAGTGATGTGTGATGTAAGTTAAGTACACGCTGTAGAGCACCAGTTGGTCTAAATTTACAACGGCTTGCCTCAAAGGCATGTTGTTGTTACGGCACGTTATAATAATTGTTCGGGTTTAACATCCCAAAAACTGAGATATGATTATGAGAGACTATGGAGGATTATGGATTATGAGAGATTATGGAGAGGTCCAGAAATTTTAACCACCTGGGTTTCTTTGATATGCACCTAAATCCAAGTACACCGGCCTCAAGCATTTCCGTCTCATCAAAAATACGGTCGTCATGACCGAGATTTGATCCCGCGACCTGCGGGTCAGCAGCCGGGTGCTTTAGCACTAGACCACAGTGGCGGGAATGGTTATGGCTTGTGAAACCCCACATATGATTGTATTTCATTTGTTTGCAAGTTTGCCTTCTGATGTTTAGGTCTACTTAGTTTGAAATTCCGCAAGAATACCGGTATGGGTTATACCTCGTTTATAGTGGATTAGACCAATAGACATGTTTTGTGCACGATGACCAACTGAACACTGTCCAGTTAACAAAATTGACAGCAATCAGGCGGGAAAAACCGTACCGGCAAAAGGCGCACATCCTCTGTGCTAGGGCCACTGAATGAAAAGCCTCAGCACCTTATGTTAAGAAGATTCAGTTCTATTGACGCAAAGATTGTGAAAGTTCGTCCATCGTCTATGTCTGAAAAGCGGAAGTCAACTGTACATGAGATTAAGCGCCTAAGTACAAAAGTGGTATCACTTGAAGAGGCACAGTCTTCGGCAGGTATGAGTTCTAAGGCCACACCTGCAGACACACTGCGAGGATTTACGGATCAGCTTACATCAATATCTTCACGATGTGATGAAGCGGAAAATAGGATGCGTCGATCCAACCTACTCTTTTTCGGTTTGGAAGACAATGCTAATGAGGATTGAGCAGCTTCTGAACAGAAAATTATTAAGTTTTGTTCTGAAAAATTGCAGCTTACACTCACTGGTACTCAGTTTGAAAGGGTTCATAGATTGGGTAAACATGATAAAGAAAAGTGTCGACCAATCATTGCCAAGCTTTGTCGCGTGTCCGAAATCTGAAGGGCACTACGTTTTCAATACGCGAAGATTTTTCATTGGCAACGCGACAGACCCGCAGAAAGCTAATAGAATTTGCCAGAACTCAAAATAAGCCATTTAGGCTTGTAGTGGACAAGCTGCGCATCGAAAACGCTACTTACGTCTGTGACGCCGTCTCTAAGTCAGTTATACGCTCAAGCAGATAGCTAGAAGGAAACGTACAAACGTTTAGGAAGCCGGAGCTGCATAAACCTTGCACACCTCTATCACTAACAGTATCATTCACTAATATTAGAAGCATCTTATCCAAACGTGAAATAGTATCATCTTATATCGATGATAGCCTTTCTGATATTCTTGTCTTCACTGAGACATGGCTTAACGCTGACATCAATGACAATGAGATTTTTACGCATGCTAACAGATACAACGTCTATCGAAGTGATCGTCCACACAGGAGGGGTGGTGGTTTTTTTATAGCTGTTAAAAAAACCATCACGTCTTATGTCGTCGCTTCCCATTATAAGATTGAAATTATAGGTTGCACAATTCATTCCACAAGGATGTTGCTCGGCAGCTGTTATCGTCCTCCCGATTGTCATCATTCTTTCTTAGAAGAGTTGCGCAGCAGCATTAATTCTGCCATCGAAATCAGTGAGGCTCGCATCGTTTATTTATTCGGTGATTTCAATCTACCATTTATTGACTGGGAGCAGCTGTCATCTTCTTGTAAGTACTCAACTGACTTCATTAACTTAACTTTAGACTTTCACTTGGCTCAGGTTGTCACTCACTCAACTCGCGGTTCAAATACACTTGACCTCGGTCTTACAACTGCACCTGAAGCAATAGACCACATAAACTATTTGAATGGCTTTAGTGACCACAAACTGCTGCAAGTTGATCTTTCTAACTTGCCACGTTTTGCAGGAACCAAATCAAAGAAAATTAGAGATTATAATAAAGCCGATTACGACGCCATTAACAGGAAACTTGAGTCTTTCCTTGACAATGTGCTGCTGCCTTCCTTTTACAGTCGCTCAGTTGAGGAAAACTGGGTTCTTTTCAAGAATGCGATTTCAGCCCTAATAGAAAAACACGTGCCGTTGATAACGATTACGAATGATAAAACTAATCCATGGTTCACCAAGTCTTTGCGCAGACTTAGAAACAAAAAGAAGTGGCTTTATCGGTCTGCAAAAAATTCGCGTTCACACACGTCTTGGGGAATGCCTAAAGAAATATTGCCACGAAAGTACAACTGCGAAAAATAAATACTATTCCAAGGATTTGCCTTCACTCCTAAAAACTAATCCGAAAAAATTCTGGAAAGTTATATGTCCTGATCGGGACGATAACTTCATTTCATTACAAGATGCAAATAACACTCCTTTTGCCGACACTGATTATCCTCATGTCTTTAATTCATTCTTTTCATCCGTGTTTACTAGCGAGCATGCTCATCTTCCAGAAATTGTTGAACGCGATTACTCATTCATGACACCTATAGATATCACAATGGAAGGCATAGTTAAAATTATTGAAAATCTGAAGATGTCATCATCTTCTGGTATTGACGATATCACTTCAAAAATATTAAAGAACACTGTTTAGGTGTCTGGCAATATCCTGTTTCACATTTTTCGGCAGTCGCTCGCTACAGGAATGTTGCCTTCTGACTGGAAGATAGCGAAGGTAGTGCCAGTTCATAAAAGTGGTAGTAAAAGTTCACCTGGAAATTATCGCCCATTTCCATGACGTGCATATGTTGCAAGATGCTTGAGCATATTATAGCTTCTAACATTTATGCACATCTAGAATCTAACCATTTCTTTTTCTCAAACCAGCACGGGTTCCGAAAGGGTCGTTCTTGCGAGACTCAACTCTTTGAGTTCACCACCGACCTACATTCTAACATGAACAGTAATCTACAGACAGATTGTTTATTTCTTGATTTTGCAAAGGCATTCGATCGTGTTGCTCATTGTCGCTTGATATTAAAACTGTCATCACTAAAACTTGATTCACTCAAGCTAACATGGCTCAGAAACTTCCTAACTAACCGCCAACAATTCACTATCGCCAACAATCACTCTTCATCAATCTGTTACGTTTCCTCTGGTGTACCACAGGGCAGTGTTCTTGGTCCCTTACTTTTCCTCATCTACATTAACGACCTGCCTGACAACTTATCCTCATGTATGCGTATATTTGCCGATGACAGCATTATCTATCATCTCATCCGCAACAATAGCGATCATCTAACTCTTCAAGAAGACCTCGAGCATATAATTGAGTGATGCAAAACATGGCAGATGACACTTAATGTTTCCAAATGCAAACTAATCACCTTTAGTCGCAAACGTGATAACTTTAATAGCCAATACATAATTGATAATAGCATTGTAGAACGCACTAATCATTACAAATACCTAGGCATAAACTTAACTTCTACACTGTCGTGGTCCACACATATCACTTCTATCTGTGCCAACACATCAAGATCATTAGGTTTTCTGTGCCGAAATCTATACAATGCTCCCTCCGATGTGCGCAAACTGGCTTATCTTGCTCTAATCCGTCCTCAACTGGAGTTCGCATCCTCCAATTGGTCACCATATCAACAATACCTCATAGATTAGTTAGAATGTATACAGAACAGAGCTAGTCGATTCATAGCGCGTAATCACAGCTACCCGTCCAGCGTAACACAGATTAAACATATCCTTGCACTCGAGCCACTGAAAATTCGCCGTGACATCTCACTTTTATCACTATTTCACAAACTCATCCACACCAGCATGATGACATCTGTTCACCTTAATCTAGCACATCGAACTTCGAGCAGACTACATAACACCTTTAGCTTATCACGCATGTACGGCAATACTAACGCTTTCAACCAGTCGGCTCTTCCACGAGCTGTTCGTTTGTGGAACGACTTGCCAGATGATCTTGCGTCAGAACAAGACCACACACAGTTCTATCATACTCTAAAAAAATACTTATGCACCAAAACTGCTCTATCGCATCTTCGTAACCATCAGTGTTTATAGGACTGTTGCCGATCTTTTTGCACTATTGTAGTTACTGTCAATAGTTTTTTTTGTATTTCACCTTCACATACTGTAACTCACTTTTCTAGTATGTATTTTGCTTACATGTTCATAAGTTGAACTGCATTTTCTAATATATTCATTATTTGCCTATGTATGTGTAGATATTATGCATATATATTTTGCTAACATATTATCTGTACCGCCCCCCTTACACAATGCCCCTCGAGGGCTCTGTAAGGTACTGTAAATAAATAAATTTAAGCGTCGCTGAAATAATATTGTTACAGCAAGCAATACCTGAATAGACAATTTGCATTAATCTGTGAGGTAGCTTTCCTAAAAGGTTTGTTTTCCGAACAAAAATTCTCTTTCAAAGACTGCTTTTCTCGCTTATTGTGTTTTTGCCTTTCCCCCTTTTCCTCACGAACGACAAATTCTAAGTCGTCCACCATGCGATGGCTGAGGGTCGGCACGAAGCGGGACAGCCCCATAGTAGTTTTTGAGGAAAAAGACGTTTTGTTGTACTTG